CTACTGCAGAGTAGTGCACTTATCGGACAGATGCACACGGTCGCGCAAAACGGACTTACACAAGCTCCAAAATCACTCAGAGAGCACAGCATATACTTCAGAGAGCACAGCATCACTTAACCAAGCAGCACCCAGCTGTCAATTTTAGCACTGGCGGCGCTCGCATAGCTCTCGACACGCTGAGCAAATGAGACGCGTGCTCGTCCTCTCGCCCGCGTAGGCGACCTTGAAGTTGTAAGCAAACTCGTCATCCTGTCCCATGTTGGAATTGGCCTCTTCAATCGTGCCTACTGGTACCAGCCAGCCACCCAACCTAGGAGGCCACTTGAATAGAATGCTCTTGCCAACGAGTTGACTGCCAACTGGTGAGTTGATCGCCGGACCACGCCGCCATGGCTGTTACACCTTGGACGGTCGGAGAGGCCTGGGGAGAAGGGGTTAATGCAACTCCTTCAACCCCCCACTCCCCGCCCCGGAGCAGAAGCCGGGGAGTGGAGTCACTGGCTGACTGAATGATAGCTGGCAGCACGGCCGGCGCCGCCCCCCCTCATGGGCTTCACCCGCTGCCACCAGAGGGTGGACGGGGGGGGCCGGGGGGGCCCTGCACTTTGGCCCTGCGAGGGGGGGAAGAGGAGAGAATGAACCCTGCTGCTGCCCTCCCCTTCCCTGACCGCTGTCTTGCGCGGGCCGCCCTTGTTGGGCGTGCCATCCGGCTGCGCGGGACGCTTCCCCGCAGCATTCCCCGCAGCAGCAGGAGCTGCCTCTCGCTCCGGCTGCTCTGCAGCCTCTGCTGCGGCGATGATGTGTGCGTAGTGAATCTTCACCCCCTTCCACCAGTTGCCCCAGTTGCTGCCCTCCTCCGGAGGTGGACGCCCTCCCCACGCCTCGACCCACTGTCGCTGAAGCTGGCGCCAGCGCTCGCATGTGCCGCCACGGCACTTTTCGCAAGCGTCGCAGTCGGCGAGCTCCGGCCGCGGAGGCGCGTCGCGCGCGCGCTGCAGCTGAGCGGCGGGTCGGCGCAAGCGCGCGACCGGCGGTCTGTCGGGCGGAGGGCCCATGAGCCCCATCGGTGCTATTCGCCATGGCATCTCAAATCTCTCTCCGAAAGCCACCCGGGTTGATCGCTATAGGCATCAGGTTATTCGATCTAAGAGCTTGGAGAACACAGAAAAAGGTTCACTTTTTATGCTGTGTACCCCCAAATTATATGCAGGTGCTGGGAGAAGCTGTGTTTTTTGCTCATCCAGCAGAGCCCACTCAATCCTCCACCCAGTTCAATACCTCCGCCCAGCTCAACACCTCCCACCCAGCTCAATACCTCCACCCAGCTCAATACCTCCACCCAGCTCACCCAGCTCAATACCTCCACCCAGCTCAAGACCTCCACCCAGCTCAAGACCTCCACTCAGCTCAATACCTCCACCCAGCTCAATACTAAGCCCCTATGGTCTATGTGCGCGATCTATTTGTCCAAGCAGACTACAATACTAAGAAGTTGGATGACCTAGATCACACGACGCTGCCAAAAGGCATCCAAGTCTCGCTGCCCCCCTCTCATTGAGGCAGCGTCTCGCTGCATCTACAATTACATCACCGCCACCGTGCCACAAGACACGATCAAGGAAAGACTACCAAGATCAGTGTGCAGTGGATGGCCTCAAACTTCTGGCTTATCTGCTTGCTGAGCTTTCAAATTCTTGGACCTTAACCCCTAAACGGCGTTCCTTTACATATGTAAAGGAGCGCATTGTTATTTTATTCCTTTGCAGGACGGCTGGTCGGAGCGACGGCCGATCCAGCAGTCGTCTGCGACATGGTAGTGGCCCCGGGTCATGTGCAGCTGGTCCCGAGCGGCTCAGGTCCCAGATCGAATCTCGGACCCACAGATTCTAGATTCCTTTAGATTCCCTGGATTCCCGCAACAACGATCTCTTAGCGGCGGCAAACAGAGGCGCAACTCTGCCAGCAGCGAGGAGGCTCCTGCTGCTCAGCTACCGAGGCCTGGTGGCGTCGGCTGCTGCGTGGAGAAGACAGCAGCACTGTCCGACCTCAAAACATGCACAACAAGCGGGATTTGTGACTCTGTCTTCGATTCTTCAGTCGCTCTGCCGGACGCGCTCGCTTTGTCGCGAGGGTCACCTGTGCAAGCCGTGTGGACGCCCAGAATAGCCTCTCCTGGCTTAGCTAGACTGAGAGATATTGTGCACATGGTCAGCCTCTACAATATATACGCTGACACTTTACCTCCCAGAGCTCGTCTCGGTCCGCCACGGCCATCCTCAGCCTCCGGAGGGCCCCTGGCCGCGGCGCGGTGCGGCGGCGTCACAAATCCGACGTCAGTTCACCGGGACGCGATCGGGCGATCTGAAGTCCAACTAGGCGTATGGATTGCCCGCCCAGGGCTATCACCTGGACCCCTCAATGGACGCCTGCGGTGCCGCCCCCACGAGGTGTTGTTCACACCTGTCCAACCATTCGTGCAGCAGGGACGCGCTGTGTGTGGCTGGCAGCAAACTCAAATGACGACGGGTTGCAGCCTCGTAGCTCAACGGCAACATTGTGCATGAGGAAGGCTGATAGAAGTAGCACCAGCCACACAACCAACAGCTTCTGGAGAGTATGCGGAGCGCAAGCAGCCGGTGATCAAAGGCGTGTGTTGCTGTCGGTGGCAGATTGCCACAGGGACGCCGGCGCTTCGGTGCGTGGCTTCGTCACAATTTTCCACCGCTCAACTTGGAGGCAGTGTGTCTAGTAGCGTGCTACACCTATGACGGCGGACCTCACTGGGGCGCCGACGTGCGACGACCGTCTGGGATCGAAAGACGAAACCGCGTCCTCCAGGAGCTCGTGCAGTCTGCAGAGCGCGCTCCGGAGCTCTGTGGCGGAAAATTTAAAGGGAACGTGGTGGCTTCCCACCGCCTCTGTATGTGCCCAATAAAGTGCTAACACGACCCTCGGGCAGCAGGGGGTATGTGGCGAGCGCACGGAGGCACAGTTAGGCCGCCGTGATATCGCCCTTCCGGGCACCCCGTTTCGGTAGCCGTTTAGGGGTTAAAGGGACCACGCCGTTGTCAGCCGTCAAATTCTTGGGCGTCGCGCGAAGTCCTATTCAGAGGTCAAGCAGCCCACAGAGCTAGCAGCCCAGATATCAACCAACAGGTTGGAGGTACTTTAGCACAGCAGCGAGAGAAGGATTTGGAGAAGATTTTGAACATTTGTGGTGTTGAGGGATATACACAACAAACCAG